TTCACATTCACTGTTTATTTATAGGTCTTGAATATCTCATTCAAAGTAAATACGTCTTTATGGCATAACTTCATAGTGGCTACAGGCTTCCTATAGTCGGGAAAATTTTTGCCGAGACGCCTTGGACATGCACAGACGCGGCGTGAGTGTGTATTATAGTATCAAACGCCGATAGGTTGTCCTAGCTGTCATGTTTGTTTAATTTTGACAAACCGAATCTCACATTCTACATTCTCGATATCACCCAAACATCTCGAAAGGAGTCGCCATAATATCTGATTTTCTCAACTTCACACTCGGATACGACTGCTGTAATTCTATCCTCCCAGCGCTTGTTCATGTCAATAAGCACGCTATTCATAGCCTCTTGCAATTTGATAGTCGCTTAATTTTATCATGCTGATTTTTGTCTGCAGCATTACTTCCCTCTTGTCCAGTTTCTTCTGCCACAGGCACAACTTCATGTAATCTAACTGACCACGTCTCTATTAAAACAATTTTTACTTCACACTAAGAATACATCTTTTTAGGTGAAAATCACGGCTAGATCACTTAAACTAAGTGCATTTAATCGCTTGTAGTTACGGGATAACATATGTAGCATGGTGGTCGAGCACACGCTGGTCAACGTCATAATAGCTGATACTAAATCTGAAGGATGTGCTGAACATTAGAGTTTGAACATTTGCTATCGTTTGATCAGGTACGGGTATCGAAAACATATGACCTAGCTGCAGGTACGCTCCTCGTTTGCACTCCAATCTTTAAAGATGCGGCGATCTTCTGGACTTCACTTGTGATGTCATGACGTACAAAATGCTTTGTTTGTTGCTGTCAGAATTAAGCGCCTCGGTCGAAGATATATTAAGCAATCAAATAAGGATCCACATTAGCGTGTTAAGCGACTCCACGTCGAAACGAGTGATATATAAGCTCGCTTTTTACGCATGAAGAATGTGTCTGCATTCTATAAATTCTAATTCTCGTAACTATTAATAAACACCAGGGTCCAAAAGGTGGTAAACACAATTTTTTGACTTGCTTTGTTCTCATTTCAACATACAAACTAGCTGCAAAATCTGCGATTGCGATGTAAGGTAGTCTTGAACTCTGTTGAAAAGGTCGTAGTCATCAGTTGGGGTAATAGAGAGACGCATGGAGAAGATTGCATGAGCAGGGAGATCACGAATGCATGATACGGACATGCTTCAAATGTCTGCCGACGAAGGAACAGGGAGATGCTTTGATCCTCAGACGTCTTAGCACGTATCACCCAAAGGAAGAGTGTTTTTTTTGGCGCTGACATGCAGGCCTTGCGTAGGACAAGCGATAAAACAGATTCACAATCGAATTTATGTCACAAAAGACATACAAGTGCATCGTCCTGGTAGCTCCTTGGACTTGTGGCAGTCGTGTAAAGGTGTTTCGTAAGTAATTGAACATCCCATTTCTTTTCAATGCAGATATCTTTTCAAGTACTCCTTCACTTTTGTAAAGCAGCAGTTCTTCAGCTTGCGCGTCATCTTAAGTAGCATGTATTCCACGATCGCTCCATGCGAAACGAAGAATACGAGTAGACGCTTTTTTCTCTTGCCTAAGCTCAAAATCAACCGAATTTTCCGGAAGAAATTGTACATTGCTTCCCTTGAGGTAGGCGAGGTGTATTGCGTCTATCTATAATAGCAACATATCCCTCACCAGACGAATCACTGAGGAAAGATAAGTTAAACCCTTGAATTGTTACGGACTTTGACGCGAGGAATATCTTGAAGAAGTTCACTGCAGCAACATGGACGACTTGGTGTTGGCTGGCATCAACGATTTGATATTTACGTCCCTGCAATGTCTTGTTCTTGACGATTCCACATCGAAGATATTAGTATGCAGTAACCTGCAACTTCTAAAATGCATCATAGATTTAATTGTGACTGTGGTGACTTGGCTTTTGTAGACTGCTTAGTCTTATACCCAAATTATACTATAAATTGGGTATTGTAAAATAAGCGCCTAAAATTGATAAATGGACGCTTTGTTAATGCACACATTTTTTCGGGGAACGCACCGGACCACAGACTATTTTCAATTGAAGTTTATTCATTTACAGCCAATTCATGGTTAACGTCTCCGACCTCGACTCAGACTTGCTGTCAGGAGAGTAACAAGTAATGTATCGCAGAGCAGATCACAAGTAATTTTGGCACTTATCCAGTGTATTCTCACCCCATCAAAAACAGAAGTAAGAAATCTCTGAGAATCTTCGTGCTACCGTAAATGCTTTTATTCGCACTCAAGGGTACACCGTTACAGTTGCAAGATATACTGGAGGCCGAACTATTGGTTGATGTGCGATCGTGTCGGAACACCACGTCCGATTTTAAAATAAAGTGCAGAAAGGCCACAATGAAATGCTACTGTAAGCCCCATCTATATAATCGGGTAAACGAGCAAAACCGGCACTAATAGATGTAGATAGAGAGATCAATCATCTACCCACTCTCGATGTAGTAGATTATATGGCCGCACTACATTCAAGCAAATCACAAAAAGAACGTTGTGGTACTAAACAATAAGGCGACTGTGTGCATACATTGTTCTCTAACCGCTATAAACCTCCAACTTCTCTATTGTCTCAACTTCTTTCTGTCTCCCTTATTTTTTGGTTAGTCGGCTTTTTTCTTGTTGGCAAAGACCACATTTTCTTCTCACCAGTAGCTACCGGTGTAAAACGACATGGATCAATACTTTATCTGTTTTGTTCAATAAGTTCGCATGCCATGTGAGTGACGACAAAATTATCGCCTTACACGCAAGCGTCGACGAGTAATAGGTTTCATTAAAAAGCATGCATAAAACAGCAATTACAAACCTCTTTTTGAAAGGCATAAATTGAGTAATTATGTGGGCGCGTATTTAACTATTCCCTAATTTATGGCAAATTCTAAACGGCTAGTTTCATTTTTATTTGGCTAGGTAATTCTGATTCGTCATTAGAAGTAGCTAAAAAAGACGCTTAAATTCGTGAGGAGTGGATCCCAAATATTCAATCCACTACTACTGTTTGCTCACGTGCCCATGCACATCTCAAATGACGATACCAGTGCAAATCGCTGCTTCTACCTCACTCCAATCCTGACCTTCCTGGCCGAACCCCATTCCTAAAGGCAACAACAACACGTGTGTGCGTTTTTAGTATGCACAGCGTATTCCATTTTTAGAATTCGTGAGTGCGGCCTCATCACCGCTGCCGTCTTCTATGACGATGCCACAACACATTTGTCTTGAGTTTAAAAGGGGTTACTCATGAGCTCAGCCCTGCCCAGTATGCCCACGTTGCCAATCGGAAGATGTGCTGATTCTTTTTAGCAGAAGGGCTTCCGTTGAATCACAAGCAAGGTTGTGGTTCCTTTATTACGGGGAAGATGACGTGGAGGTTTAAAAAGGCGGCCTTGATCTCACGCCGAATATATGCTCTGGAAGAGCTATTTTGATACCAAGGCCAATAGTATCGAGGTCGTAACACCTGCACCAAAGTTGTTTTGTCGAGCAAGTACAGCCAAAAAATATGACGTTATGGGTCATGTCGGTGCGTGCGCACATGCAATCTCATCCAATAGTCAGCTACGTGGTTACTTTTACAATAAAACTGCTGTTGCGCTTACGACAACAGGAGAACCGAATGCTCCGAGTGCTGATGTGATGAGAGAGATCTCTGTGCTGACGCTGTGGATTGAGACATACTCGCTTCCAATTATACTGGGGAAATGTAAAAATGTGCGTGATCTGACAAGTAGTCGGATTCGAAGGAGTAATGACCAAACAACGTAAATAGAAAATGGTTGCTGAGTAAAGTTCTGGCGATAAAGACTCAGTCATTTACGTATCGATATGATTGAGACCGCTTGCTTGACGCGCCGTAGATTAGTGCTCGCGAATGACGGCGCCGTATTCTACGGCGCCGTAGATGAATTTGAGATAGGTGAAGTCGAATAATTTTAATGCCGAAGAAAGCGGCAATCAACTCCTGATTACTATTTTGTTGCGTAACACAATGTGGCAGATGTGAACAGTGTGGGAATAAGCCAGACTCCAGCGCTGCATCAGTGCGTGCGCCACGTGATTTTGCTCAGAAGCAAATTTCGCTAGATTCGTTCGCCATGTGAATTGCAGCCTTTTCTTGGTAGTCCGCCACATTGGGGTACACTTCTGCATTTAAATTGTCATGTACACGATTATCATTGCCACCCTGGACAGCAACTTGGCAGCATAATTTAGATTACATCCAGAACTTCTTCAAGACAATGCGACTCAGGACCCTTCGTTTTTTTTATGACGCACCGTGTTAAATGGACTTTGTTGACTGTGAAGCTATTTTGTTAGGTAGAACGATCGCGTCCAAAATGGAGTAAAAAAAAACGATGTTTTTCTTGTAAGAGAACGCTAACTAGGAAGTAAGGACTGGAGTGAGGTTTAAGCAGCGAATGCACTGATATCGTCATTTCAAGCCTTGCATGGACACGTGAGAAAAAAGTACTAATGATTTGAGTATCAGGATCTACTCCTGACGAAATTGGGCATAATTCTAAGCTTCTTCTGATAGCAAATCGGAATGACCCAGCCGAATAAAAATGAACCCAGCCGTTTCGCATTTGCCGAATTTATTCTACTGCTTTAAACGTTGTCGGAGTTTTTACAACCTGCAGCATTATGGACGTCTGACTTGGCGTTTGTATGTTGTCCACACATATTTCGAACTCGTTCCGACAAAAATGTCAGAATAGTGTCAGAACGCCATTGCGCTACACCTTATCGTTCTAATTGGCCAATACTTAAAAATATCAAGATCAGACATTGGCTATAAGTGTATCTCACTTTCCAATTGGTCGATCTTCAGATACTAAAGACAAGTGTATTATCTCTGTCGGAGTTTTACTGGTTTTTATTTCTAATGAACAATGGATAGCGCGCACAGTCCGTAAGTAGGAGTTCACGTGACGCCGCCCATGACCAACTCCAGCACCAAGCGCGTGTCATATTTCTACCATCGTACGCTCATCCATCCACCCCCTATGTTCATCCATCCATCTATACGTCTCTTCGTGTCTCTTCTTCCTCTGCGTCCGAACCTAGTAGCTGCTATTGTATACACACGCTCTCACTCTCACTCTCTCTCTATCCCTTCTGGTTGTACTCGTAGCTGAGGAAGGGCACTTTTACTATGGCCCTGGTCACCCAATGAAGCCGCACCGCATGAAACTAGCTCACCATTTGGTGGTGAATTATGATTTGTACCGCAAAATGGACATTTTTGTACGTGCCCAAGAGCCTCTGTAACTTGTTCACTGTAGAATAAAGGGACGGTCGTGTTCATCACGTGGACACCACGTCACTTTTGCTTCCTGCTATTTCTATAGGAGCCACATATTGCTTCGGCCGAGGAGATTAAGAATTTTCACGCGCCAGATTACGTTGACTTTTTGCAGCGTATCAGCCCTAGTAATCAGAAAAACTTGGTTCCGGAGCTTCAGAAATGTACGTGTAGCAGCTAATTGAGCATCCAAAGCTAGAGACGTAAGTGGTGGGTGAGACAAAGTGGACTGATCGCACTTTGTCGGATACGGTCGATTGATCGATGTGTTTTGTGCGGGTCCAGTCAACTTGGGCGAGCTGACGGACTGTCCAGTATTTGACGGCATTTTCGACTTTTGCCAAATCTATTCGGGAGGCACGTTAGATGCTGTAAGTCGACTGAATCACGGACAATGTGACATTGCCATCAATTGGGCAGGGGGTCTGCACCACGCCAAAAAGTCGGAAGGATCAGGATTCTGTTACGTAAACGACATTGTGCTGGGTATTTTGGAACTGCTAAAATACCACCCGCGCGTTCTTTACATTGATATTGATGTGCACCATGGTGACGGCGTTGAAGAAGCTTTCTACGTGACAGACCGGGTGATGACTGTATCGTTTCACAAGTACGGAGACTTTTTCCTGGCACAGGCGATATTAAGGTTTTGTGGACCCACGACTGCTGATTCAGTTTTTTTCTGCTGCCGCTGCGGCTTTTTGTGCATGCTCCTTTTACACGATGGCTCTGTTTGCTGTATGTAGGATATCGGCACCAAAAACGGCAAATATTACGCTGTTAATTTCCCGTTGCTGAGCGGCATGGACGATGCAAGTTACGAAAGCGTTTTTAAACCGGTGATTCAAAAGGTGATGGAGACGTTCGCTCCCTCGGCTGTAGTGCTGCAGTGCGGTGCGGACTCGCTTACAGGAGATCGACTTGGCTGCTTTAATGTCACTACTAGGGGTACGCCGCCTGCACAAGTTTGGTGTGTAAGGTTAAGAGATTTTGCTGGTGCTAATGTGTACATGTTACTTTCGTGTGCAGGTCACGGCGAATGCGTCAAGTTCGTAAAAAGCTTTGGCCTGCCGATGCTGGTGCTGGGAGGTGGTGGATACACGATCCGCAATGTTGCCAGGGCATGGGCTTACGAGACGTCGATCCTGTTGGACGAAGAGGTGTCGAACAATATCCCGTACAACGATTACTTCGAGTTTTACGCTCCGAATTTCAAACTGCATCTCGAGCCGGATCCGGACCTTGATGATGCAAACTCGAGGGAGTATTTAGACGAGTGCAAGTACGCGAATACGCTCTTGTTCGAATTGAACAATGTTTATCAGCTAACATATGTATCTGTGCCAGGAACAAGATCTTTGAGAATCTTCGGGCTCTAACGGGAGCGCCAAGCGTTCAAATGAGTCAAGCCCCTCCGACGCATATGCTGCGCGAGGAAGACGAAGATGCAGCAGATCCGAACTCGCGCATGGACAACGACGGGAGACGGCAGCACGAAGCTGAATTCTATCGAGATGACAAAGACCAGCGAGGAAATGACGACGATGATGTTGACAGTGCTAAAGGATCAGGCGGTCCTCATCACGCTACAGAAGCGGACAATACGGCACCGGACGTCATTCCGATGGATATGGATTAGACTGGTAACAAGTAGCGTTTTCTCAGCGTTCCCGCTATGCGTGGTGCTACGGGTACTTGGATGTTTCAGTTTGCTTCGCAGTTGCTGCTGTTATCAGGCACGCGGGATCGACGAGTGGAAACTCTTCTGTACGCGCTTGCGAAACACGACATACCCAGGCCAAACACACATGGCGAAAGTAGACCTTATCACGATATGAGCACGCATTCATCCAGCGTTTGCACCCTTGTCGTATGCTCCTTGTCTAGCTCATGCAAATCGTCCACTCATCTTCTTCTTCTGATTATAAAACGTCTGCGATCCAGTCATTACATGGACTTCGGTCGCTTCTAACGCCGCTAAGGCAATAGCTGGCCACAACACCCCGAAAACAAACGACTACCGCAAAACACACGGAGTTGTTCAAGCTTTACACGCACGAACCGAGGTTACACACATCTCGGGTCGATCGTTGACTCGCATTCACCGATAGCCTTTTCGATGACACGCGAGCTACGGCTGCATCACTGTTTGGCTATCGAAGCAAATGGCTACACCCAAAAGAACGAGCGCCATGCCCATGTATGTACCTGGTGCATATGGTCAGCACGACAAACGAACGTGCTGAGCATCGAGATCGACAAGCAGATTCAAAATGACTAGCCGACGACACGTACAAATAGGACGCTGGGGTTTCTCCCCAAGCAAACGACTCGTTATGGCAGTGAAGACAAACGTCAGCGAGTTGCAAATGGGTACAGCATGCGAGATATCTATGTCGCATCATCAATTCCACCAACATCACTCATAATCTCAATCATCGCTCCACCATGGACTGTTACTGTCGTGCACGCATGTACGTACGCACCTGCCGAGCCGAGAAGGTAAACGTAGACGACAGAGCCACTCTGATTTAGAGCAAATGGCAGAACAAACTGCCGTACCAAATTTTAAGAGGAACTGTCAGAGCCGATCCACGCGACGTCGACGACCGATTTACAGAAAAGATACTAGAGATGAAGTAATGACCAACGAAGCGTCTCCCGCACCTTCCAGTTCTTCACGACTCCAAGAACTTGATTCATGAATTCCTTCATGCTATTGTCTTTCCGAGTGTACATAACGTCGTCATTGCTCCCTAATGACCAACATAGGAGTCCATTCGTCTCTCATTTTCCAACCCTCTCTTATGCGTCGACCTTACATTCGCCATCACTACCTCGTTTTATGAACGGGTTCGTGCATCCCCAGAGTGCGCCCACGATAAGAAACGACGCGAGTGTCGGCACCACTGACGACATAGCTGCGATGGACGGGCGCGATGTGACCGCTCAAGACTTGGTTCTGATCGGTTTGTAACGCGTCGATAAAAACACCGAAACTTCAAATACATCCAGGCGCAATGTTCAAACACCATGTTTTATCTAGGCTACCCATTTGTCTTTTACTACTCTGTTCCATTTTTTAAAAAAGCCATCGCTTGTTTGGCTTCCGTTTCCACCACAATCAGTGTTTTCAAACGAAACATACCACCAGCGTATCGAGCTCATTCTATACTGTTTTATACAGTTATTTAAGCTCGTCTAACTGCAGATATTTAAGATATATCCTAATATCTGTCTGATCATTTTCAAAGGTTTCAGGCTTCTTGACGTAGTGAATTCTCTCGTACAAGAAGTTTCTGTCATCCAGAAAGCAGCGTGACAATGTGATCAACAGTTTTGCTAGAAAAAAAACTGGAGGATTAATGTAAATAAAAGCAAGTTTTTTATGTGGTACGGTGCAATGTGTCAAGAATTGGTTTAATATTAAATGGTGGTAGCCAAAAACATGCTCATTTTATAAACATGTAATGCCTGCTCATGGCTCAGATGAAGCCGTCCTTTCCAAAAAAGGTAGCTTGTTAGGAACAAGCACAGAAGCGATTGGTAACGACGAGGGACGTGGTCCATGTTTAAAAGGATCTTACTAAGGTTCAGCAGCTAAAAACTGTTATCACCCTCATTTTCGATGGCGAGCCCTCACTGCCTGAACCTCAAATATCTTGTTAGTGACGATGAATTGCCAAACAAACCAGACCAAAACAAGTGTTGTCCATTATCCGGTCATGATTTTTCAAACAGCCCACATGTCTTTCCAGTCCATAAATGAATGGAACAGCGTAGTATGCTCAATGCGAACAAACATTACAAAGACAGTCCTCGATCTGAATCTCTCGAGAAATAATGGAGCAATAATGCATGCATCCACAAACTCTCGATTGATACGCATGCTCTCAGTTGTCCGAAAGTTTGCTATGAAGTGAGTCGCTCAGAACTTCGGCTTTAGGTGTGGGTAAGATTTTTGTGACGTACAAAAATTCGCAAGGCGATACAACTGCACCAGTGAGGCGCCATCCCACTCCCATTCCAGTCGAATTTAGTATCGCTTTGTACTCGGGCCTTTTTAAGAGCCCAAATCAGATCGAATTGTATGCGTTCGTGTGAATACATATTGGAGTGCGGACACGCAGGTCGTGTATGAAGTGCTGACATGTGTATCAGGCATTTCACGTTGGTCTGATATTCACAGTCTAGTCCTCAACTATAACCTTAGTCTAGACACGCATAATCTGGATTGTGGGGATCCGTGTGAGCCCTGCAAAACACTGGGTAAATTGCTACATCGTAGTCATACAGATGCCAACACACAGCGGTCCGATGCCGCGATCTTGACAAGAGCGAGGTGTAAACAAACATTTGACAAGGCTGACATTTTTATGGACACTTACTGTGACGGGGCACCCTGTGCTTACAATGATAAAGACTCAGGTAACTTGCACGCCCACAGTGAAAGCAGGTGGATTGGCTTTTCGCGTACATGTAAGTCCATACTACGGTTGGTATACTGATTCGTAAACTTAGTTAGAGGGACAAGTAGAACCGTATTGAGAAAATGTTAAGGGAACCGCTAATGAGCTATCACTTTTCTCTAACGAGCCTTCAACCCACACATAAAACAAGTAGTAAAATCTGAAACACCTAATTTGGCAAATGGCTTGATTTCCTTTTACGCTTCTAATTTCTAAATCTTGACAATCGAGAATGAGCCAGTCATATTCGCATCTTCACATAGAGCAGCCTCCCCAACAGGTGAGAGCATTTAAACTATAGGCTTGTATCGGCTTATTTAAGGTGAATATTATCCCGCCTACATCACGTCTCTTAAACAAATGATAGGACCACCCCAATAGGCTCCGATGACGGATTTACGTTTATACTACAAACGTTTATTCCAACCATCCTCCACATTAACATGTAGATAGACGAGCGAGTAAACGAAATACAAATGTTCATTCTGCTCACTCTCCAGGCATGCCTAATTGCTAGTACATATCTTCTTGACGATATGCCTCTTGTAGAGACGGCGTTGCGTGAGCAGTGCGGATTTACTGCTTTGAACTCTTTTTTATTGCTTTGTGCCCTTAATGTTGCCGTTTAACAGATGTACGAGAGCCTTCCGGCAGTTTCAGCTCGTCAAGCGCAAAAAAATCGTCATCATCTAATCTATGATCCTCTTAATGCTTTCTATGTTTCTTCAAAGAAGGGGGGGGGTTCAGATGTACGATAGCGTGGGTGAAATGAGATGGAGTGAATAGAAATTTTGAATTGGACAAGAGAAAACATTATTATTTAGACGGTTTCAATCCAAATATGTTTAATACGTGGGGTGAAAGCTCATAAGTGAAAAGCGAAGGCTCATTGGCGGCTCTCTAGTTTGTTTCTTCTAAAATTTTGAGTACACGTAACCTACAGTAAGTATAGCTAAGTACAAATATGCGTATTTTTGTACATTGTCGATTTAGGTAATATCAGTTTTTTACTTTTAAGATCATATTCGGATTTGACACTTTTGTATTAATTACATGTTACAGGCTAATTCCGTTACATAATTTCCTTGTGCGATAGTCACATGTAAAATGTCTTGAGAGAGTGGTCGCATTCGGACTACTCTAGGAAAGGGATGCACTTGATGGTCCATTGATTCTAGTCTATCAATTTGCCTGATTATTGTGGCCAAGAACAAGAGCATCATCATAATGGTGAAAGCCGAAAGCATGTTCGTATACAGCCGCGAGCAATACCCGTATTAAAGCAGGGGATTCATTGAGCTGAGCTGGTGGAACATTTGGTGCAGCAAAAGGTGCTGCAGGTAGACTTAATGCTTGACCATACAGTGATCCTGACTCATTTGTGGAGGCCATGTAAACGGAGAGTCGAACGATGTGTACAACTTGAAGTTTCCCCTCCTTCGTTTATTTGCGTTGGCCTGCTTGGTCCCACTATAGCAGGCCAGCCATAGTGACATGACTGACATCGAGCGGCGTAACACCTTTCGTATGTCCCATGAGTCAGAGTCCTGTCAAAACGTCTCTTGGATTCACACTTGCAATCACGCTCGCGCTCTCAAGAGCGCATCGATCATGTAGTATCATTAAGATATGGACGTAGTGATGCTAACAGTAATGTGAAACCACATCACCGTGCTCAAGACGATCGCTGTGATCGTGATAATCATTGCGTCATTTCTTCCGTTGAATCTACACAGAAAGTCTGGGGCGCGATATGATCAGACGCACTTCGAAATTTAGGCCATAGAAGCTACTTTCGAACTTATTTGTCGCTTTTCGTCCACAACGAAGCGATAAAAAAGGATGAGAATACCAAAAAACACTAATTGATGCGTCCATACTCTACGGTCTAGATTACTTCACAAGACATTTCAGCGTCGAGCAAGTGTCTAAGATCGACATTTTCTCAAGCATCAATTACATTCACTTAGTTAGGGGTGGTTTATCATCTCGTTTCCACAAGGTTGAAACGCTTTTGTGAACGATGTCACAAACATTTGATGCCATACCTAAATACTAAATTATTAATATTGCGCAATCAGATTGAAAAACAAGTGCAAACTGGTGCGCGTTACAAACTACTTTTTAACCGAAGGACCGAATTCCATTGCGATTAGCGGGACAGACCTCG